TAATTAGTGTAATTAGTGTTGACTAATCTTGTTGCTCAATTATGGTGGTTGTGACATGAATTAATTTTAGATTTATAGATTATTAGTCTTGAAATAGAAAATAACAAATTACATGTTGCTCGCGCTTTAGAGTTAAACGATTTTGATAAAATTCGAGTTAGGAATTGAAAGGTTTACTTCCAATTCAATTTCATCATTCTAACAATCTCGAAGTTCATCAAAATTGTCGTTAACATTGTTGTGTATAATTAATTGTTGGGTAATTATGAACATTTCTCATTTATTAGAATAAAATATTTCACTAATAGAAATATGATTTTGGAATAGAAAATGTAATTATGGGCCTCAATTTTAAAACAATACCAATGATTTATATACAAGAGTAATTCCATGTAGGAATTTTGTATTATGTCGAGTGCTGTAAACGAGCGGAGCTTGAGCTCCTAATCTTTGAGTTCGGGCTCGAGCTTTTGTTGAGATGAATCGAGCTCGGATCCTTAGTAATCGAGTCGATTAACGAGTTTGAGTTTGATTCGTTTATCAAAACTAACCGACAGAGCTCGTGCTCGAAATATTTGAGCTTGGACACGAGCTTTTATTGAAATGAATCGAGGTTGACTCATTAACTATTCATCAAGTCGATAAACATGCTCGAGCTAATTCGTTTATCAAAACTAATTGACGGAGCTCAAACAATAACGAGTCAATGTAACAAAATCGTCAGTAAATCATATAAGAACTTCTACTTTCTCGAGCTTAATAACAAGTCGACTTGTTAACTAAATGAATTCGAGCTTGACTCATTTATTAAACAAACATACTTAGCTAAACAAGATATGAGCCGAGTTCATGAGCAACTCAATTCGTTTAGCAGCTCAAATTATATCTATAGTTAGTCGTGCAAATATGGCTCAACTTGTAGTCTATGCATAGAATCGTTCGAGCTTGACTCATTATTAAACGTGCATACTTAGCTAAACACGATATGAGCCGAATTCTTACGCAACTCAATTCGTTTATTAGTAGCTCTAATTATATCTATAGTTAGTCGTGCAAATGTGGCTCAACTTGTAGTCTATGCATAGAATCGTTGGGCACCATTTCAACTCAAGAAGATGGTGTTTTTTATTTTTAAGACAAATTAATGTTTCAGTTTGAGTAACAAGATAAAGAATTGCATAAAATTTAACTGTATATTGCTAATTTGCTATGTATTTATTTCATGCACTTATTGGAAACTTGACTTTAAAATCATATATCTAAATACTACTTTGTACAAATCAAACCTTAATTTTCAAGATCAACAAAAAGATTATTAATTAGGTGACAAACCACATGCCCAAGAAAAGACTATAACAATAAACATAAATCAATTACAAACATTTAGAATTACAACCTGATCAAGAATCAATCAATCAGTCAACCAAGATGGGTGGTGAGGAAGATTGGGCACTGTCCTCTATAGATATCTCAGTAACATCGTCGAGGGATCCATTGGTTATGGCTGTCGGCCTTCCTATGCCGCACAACAACATTTGCTTCTCAAGATGCTCACAATAGCTTTCGAAAACCCGAGGGCTAACCGAGACTCCATAATCTAAAAGGAAAAGCAGTTCCAACTCGAGCTTGTTTAGTTCAGTATTACTTATTCCTCCAACTCGCGCATAAAATGCATTGTTGTAGTGTCTGTCGTAAAATGACCAAAATGAGGGAAGTCCGAAAAATATTATTAGAAAAGCCCATATGCAAACACTATCTCATAATCGATAAATTTCATCACTTGAATCTTAATTATCTTTTTCAATAAATTTGAACCACTAGATTTCAAGGTTTAATTAATTAGTAGAATCACATAAAAAAAAATCACATTAATTCACTATCGATAAACTATTATTATCATTATATTTTGCCAAATTAAGTAAAAATAAATTATATTGAGAAAATTAAAAAAAAAAAAAAAAGCTTTACATATCATCAAGAATCTTGGAGGCCACCATGACGCCGGTGATGACCAGCCGGTGAACGTTGAGTGACGCCACCGGCGAGTCCGGGAACCGGTGAACGAGCCGGTCAATGTACACAAACCCCACCACGAAGCACGACGGGCTGCAACCCGTGTACTTGTATATCCTCTCCACGTACTTCTCAAGGCTGATGGACGGCGGCCGAACTCCGTCAAACGACCTCAGCCTACCGCCGGCGGCGCCGGAGGAGAGCTGGTCGTTACGGGCGACCAGCTTCTCGAGCACGCGGGATACGACAGTCAGGACCCGGGGCGTCGCGGTCGGGTCGTGCTGGCCATGATCCGGCAGCCGGGGCTGCGGGTGGTGGTGGTGGTGGGGGTCTGCGCCGGCGGCTAACATCTAAGGTTGCATAGTGCGGCGGCGCCGGCGCGGTGGTAGTTGGGGTGGGGGCATGATTTTTCGTTGGATTTTTTTATTAATAGTGTGTGCTTTTGGTTGCGGCTGTCTTATCTGGTACGGGGTGATTGGTCGAGAGACACGTGGCGCTTGCATATGCCTTTCAATTACATTTTGGTTGAAACGGATAAAATTTCATTCTTTTGCATTATGTGTTGTCCAAATATTCGGGTATAAATATAATACATCTTCTTCTTCTTTGGAATGCACTAAAAAATTCAATTACATAATTTGATTACGTGACCCATTTACCAATAAGAATAAAATTAAATTTTATAGTATATAAAAATATATATTTATATTTGAAGTTTGTTATGAATGTAAAAAAATAGTTATGATATGTATGATTATGAAAAAATCGAGTTGATTTATCATTTGTTGGTTAATGGTTAATTTTTATTAAAAGCATTAATTATCAACTTTTTGTAGTAATTGTATTATAAAATGAATTAGTTACTTAGTTTTAGTAACTATATATGTGACATCCCTTCCCTTATATATTAATGCAGAACGCGCTGAGCCTACGTGGCTGTTTCTGGTGCTTCGGAATCCTATATGACAAAATTACATGCTTCGTTATTAGGCTTGGGTAAATTTTAATTTAATTCCAAACAAAAAATAATTAGGTTCGGATTACCATAAATATATTGATTATTTATGATCATGTTACATTTATTAATTGCATTTTAATATCATTCCTTGTTATAACTATTGAATTGTATATATATTTTAAAAGTTAATATCTTTTGTATTTTTTATCAATTTTACATATGTAATATATCAAATTAATCTTCTTTTGACGAGCTTCGATTTAACATCTATATTGTATGTATAAAAAAAATAATTTATATTTATCTTTATAACAATAATAAAATTAATTTTAATATTAATCTGAAATAAAATTATTTATCAACCAATATATTTATATTTCAAGTAGTTATATGATATAAGTTATAAAAACTAATATAATATAACACATGTAATTCATAAATAACACATATCATTCTAAAATATATAGTAATATATTTTTTTTTTTGTAAAAAAGTAACTAAATTTAATATAATTTTCTCATTAATTTTAAAATTTAAGAATAAAAGTATGATTTACAATAATCAATCAATAAAAATTTAATTTCGCTGATATTAAAATTAAATTATTGTTGGAGATAGTTGATCTAACAGTTACAAATCCCGACAGAATGATTTCGTAACGAGATGGTAGTATCTCAATTGACACATAGAAACGTGCATGAAGCACTAGACTCGAAAAAAACTATGCATTTATTTATAAGATAATATATATATATATATATATATATATATATATTAAGAATAGAAAATAAGTTTCTAATTGATCTTATTTGTGTATTTTTGGATGGAAGCATATCACCCAACTTTAATTACTTCTATATTTTCAATTGAACTTGTGGGAAGTGCCATTACAATTCAAATATAACTTTGTAGAAGGATGCAAACAATTATCATGACCCCAATTTGAGTTTACAATTTTTTATTATTGTTTTTTAAAAAAAATGATGATTAAATAGATCAATACAACAATCCTTGTGACGTGGCACTAGATGTGGAATAATAATAATAATAAAAAAAAAAGTTCCATTTTTCTCGCATGGAAATTATCACCGAGCGAGTCACAAGCCTGAGTTGTTTTGCCTAATTTTACATTTTCCACATCAGCACAAAATTCCTCACTTGCATTCGTATAAGTACATAATAATCAACACCATTACAACAAAAAAATAAAACTCAAAGCTCTTATGAATAACCAGGATTTATTTTATTAGGAAAAAAAAAAAATAAAAGCTACTAATCAATTTAAATAAATATACATTATCATTTTCTTTCAGTCCAATAGAATTTCAGTAAATAATATTCAAATAAATATACTTTATCATTTTTTTTTTTTTCAGTCCAATAGAATTTCAGTAAACAATATACTATTATTTTTTTTTTATGATTTTAACAAGATTCAAATATGGGTGAGGCAGCGTGTGAGTTTTGCGGCGTGGCCAAGGCCGTCGTCTACTGCAAATCCGACTCCGCCGCCCTCTGCCTCCAGTGCGACGGCTACATCCACTCCGCCAACGCACTCTCCCGCCGCCACCCCAGATCCCTCCTCTGCGACACCTGCGCCTCCCGGGCCGCCGCCGTCCGGTGCCTCGACCGCGGCCTCTCCCTCTGCCACGCCTGCTCCGCCGCCTCCACCGCCGCCGCCGATCGACTCCGGCGAGTCGATTTGGGGATCTACGACGGGTGCCCTTCACAGTCAGATCTCTCCAAATTGTGGCCGACGGTGTTCGACAACTGCGATTCGGAGCTTGTGATGAATTCGACATTATTGGTATCGGGTGGTGGAGTGGTGCCGGACGTGAAATTCGGGCCGTGGGCCGTTGTTCCGCCGGCGCCGCCGCCTCAGGTTTCGTTGTCCAGCGGTGGGAATCAGAGGTTGTCTCGTGCATCTTGCCGAGATCAATTGTCTTTCTTGTCCCAAGGCTCACCACTTGAACAGGTAGCCGAAAAATATAACGAATAAAGTTGATCTGATATAAAAACAAACGAGCAAATTTTTTCACTGAAAATATATTCATGAAAGGCTAAATTGTATTTTTTTTTATCTTATTGTGTAACGTCATAACAATTTTAATCCTAGAATTCTAACATTTCACCTTTTAGTCTTGTGATTTAATATTTTTTTCGCAATGTGGGTCTTTGAGTATGAAATTGCAACAAATTCCAAAATTTTTGTATCTTTGCGATGGATTATTTATTAACAATTAAAGTCATGTAATTTAAAATTTTGTTTCAATTTCATTCTGTTCAAATCTCATGACCAAACCTTGTGACTAAAATTTACTATGTCAGTTAAACCAAGAGAACTAAAACTGCATTTTTTTTGCCTTCATATAACATCTTTGCTTGTAATTTGACATGCATTATATGTGAAGGATCTCGCGACTCGAGAAACCGAAGATCTTCACGACATGGATGGGATAGGCCTGTGCTTTGAGAGCGGTTACGGAATTTTCGGTAATAATTTGACAAGTCGGCCGAATTCGAGCCGTGAAGACGAAGGAATCGCAAGCATACTCATGGAGAATAACATCTCAGTATCCAAACCGAATAGAGCTCACATCGAAAGTAGTCCTTTAGAGGTTGCTTCTTTAATCTCATAACCACTTCTGCGCATGCATGATTTTCAAACCAATAATTGTGGTAATTTTGTGATGAAATGTATATATCTTTGCAATTTTAGGCATCCTCGACTTTCCCACCTCCTATGAGTGCAAATGCTAGCTCTATAATGATGAATCCGAGTGCTAGCCTTGGGTTCACGAGCGGTCAACTGCAGCCTCCCTTGTCTCTTGCGATATCAAGCATAACGGGCGAGAGTAATGCATCCGAATATCAAGATTGTGGGCTCTCGCCTTTGTTCCTAACGGGCGAGTCTCCTTGGGACTCGAATCTCGAGCCTTGTTGCCCACAGGCGAGAGATAAGGCCAAGATGAGATACAATGAAAAGAAAAAAACGAGAACGTATGTGTGCTCTGTTTATTCGGGTCGATATATATGTTTCATTTTGTTGTGTGAGAACTTATTATGCTTTTACATTTGGTAAAAATGTAGGTTCGGAAAACAAATCCGGTACGCTTCGCGTAAAGCAAGGGCTGATTCAAGAAAACGCATCAAGGGTAGATTCGTCAAAGCCGGTGAATCTTTAGAGCACGACGAGCCCGGTGGATCCGGAACAAGGGATTTCTAAGCCAAACCCGACACGTTATTTTTGCTCATTTGTTCAAGCACAATTTTTTTTCCCTTATCATAAAGGTACAAATAGTCTTTTGAATTCACAAAGACCAACTTTTTTGCTTCACAAAGTTCGTATTTTGTATCTTTGTATATTTTTATTTCCATCGGTCGACAGGCAGACATAAGAGATGCCAGGCCTTTGAGAATGGGCTGCTAACTTGTGTAAGAAGCCTGTCTGATCTCAGGTGAGTTCATATGCTTTCTTGTTTTTAAATAATTTCTTATTCAATGATAAAAATCCTACTTTTTTTTTTTGGTTCCTTTTGTAGCCGAAGAAGAAGGCGACACATGGAGAGCTTCTTGTTACCCTCCTTGCAAACTGCTCAATTTCTTCATGAGACACTTTTTATATTCTATATGAATAATATCAATTTTGTCGACAATTCCGGATTTACAATAATTTCATTGATGTTTATGAGACTGAGAGTCATAGAACAATGGTTCTGAAATAACATTGTTTTTTTCTTTTGAACCATTTACACAAGGAATTGATATGTTCCTGTAGCTCAGCATAAAGGATTGAAGTTAAACGGAAAATGTACCATGATGTTATTTTTCAAAATCAGAAAATGTACCATGATGTTAGATTTGTGTTGAGATGAAAGCATGTTGATGTAGAGATGGTGATCAAAATCCTCATTGTTGTTGGCGTTCAAAATCAACGAAGTATTAACACGGACTTAGAACGTGCGTTAAGGAGAAATAAGAACGGTAAATGCTTGAGCATTGAACAAAATTGTGAGGAAATTGGTTCCAAAAAAAAAAAAAAAAGACAATGTGGTTATGGCAATAATAATGCTCATGTATTATCAACGAGAGTATGTTGCGTGTGGTTCTCGTGTTTTTCGTGTCTATTTGGAGAGTATTGTTGTTACTTTGCATTCGGAGAAGTCCCCCTTCAACCACTTGATCAGTAGAGAAACCTCCTTCAACGCTGATTGGTAAGCCTTCATTCTTTTTCATCAAGACTAGAGGTGTTAAACGAAACGAGCCGCTCATGAGCTCGGCTCGTAGTCGAGCTTGAGCTCGCTTAAAGCTCGTAGCATTAACGAGTCGGGTTCAATTCGGCTCAATAAAGCTTGAATAGAGATAGTTTACTTTCGAACTTGTTGTAGCAGAACTTTTGGAAAATTGAAGCTTTTGTGCACGGTCGTCCGTTTGGCCACTTGAGTAACATTTGCTGTACACTTGAAGAAAAATGACATAATAAAAGTGATGGATAGACGTGTTTTCAGTGACCATCTTCGTACAATTAATGTATTCGTCATGGATGCTTCGTTTCTTCAAGTCTTCTAGAAAATCATATATAAAAGAAGTCAATAAAAATCCACCGAAAAGAGACCAATCATCACCTCTGCAATTCGAGTACCTTATTGCACATTTGTCGTGTAACATATGCACCATAGTATTAACAAAAAAAAAAAATAAATAAAATCTTAAATACTTTATTGTTCAAGATCTGCAATCAATTAAAATGTTCCGGACGCTGGGCGCATGCAATCGCTTTTCCTAAAAGTCCCGATCTAGCTTAGAATCTTCGTTTGAACTCGATTATAAGCATTAATACGAAAAATTCGCAAACTACCAACAATGGCCCGCAGCCACTCGATTTCGCCTTTAAATATTTTCCTCCTCCTCTTCCTCATCCTCCGACTTCTCGTCTCGTTTTCCCAACCCCTTTCAACCCGGTGCTCGGGCAAAAACACAAATAAACCCTACATGACTAACGTAAAATATATCTTGACCAAACTAAACAAAACGGGCCAAGGGTACCTACCGTGTGGTCGAGATTCCAACCAGGCCTACGGGCTTTTCCTCTGCAAAGCCAAACTCCCAACCCAATTCTGCCGGTTTTGCCTTGGGATGGCCGCCAAATACATCGCGCCATGTCGTCAAAGGCAGGCGATCGTCTGGTACGATGCGTGCTACCTTAAAATCTGGGACACAAATTTTTTCAAGAAAATCGACACGAATAACAACCTTTTCATGTGTACGGGTAAGAGCATGTCTCTCAAGTATATGATGATGCTGTCAAGGATTTGTTTCGGAAGATAAACTCGAGCACAAGCTTGGAGAGTGGATCTATGTATGCGAGTGTGAACAAAGACGTGACGAAAGAAGTAACGGTCTACGGCTGGGCCCAATGCAGCTTGGATCTTAAAGGCCAAGACTGCAGGAAGTGTGTTGCTAGTGCCTTAGAGAATCTTGAAAAGAATTGTGGTGGAGGAGTAAGGAGTGGGAAATGGTTTTATGGGAGTTGCGTTATAAGATTTGATGGGCCAAATGCACCATAATTCCATTTTCTTCATCAAAACCCAAAATATATATATAACAAAAATGCTGCTGCTTAGTTACAATTACAAAATCGAGCAAGAATGTGGATAAAATTATCATTTGTCTCAAGTTATATATTATGAGTATATTTTGTAATTTTTCTAATTATTATTTATTGGGCCCTCGATCTCCATAACAATTTCTCTGCAGGTTCCTGTTAGCATGACCGAGGATCGAGCGACGACTGCATTACTTTGAAACCATATAATATTATTATTATTTAAGTAATATAAGACAAGCCCAAATATTATTAGATGGATTGATCAGTTTTTGTAACAAGATATACATTTAATTTATATAATATTATATTTTTTTTATATTTTTATTCAGGTTAGATAATTTAAATTTGAAAATTCATATTTTATTGAGATATTATTTGCATGTGTACATGATCAAATACTGGTTTGTAATCAAAATACCGATATAATGGACTAGTACTTCTCATTACATTAGCAAGTTAAATCATAAATGTATCATTTATGATTTTTTTTTATTACTAGTTTAATTCATTGATTATTGATTAAAAAAATATCTAATTCATTTTTTTTTTTTTTTTTGGGTACAATAAAGAGAGGTCGAAACCTAGCGGAAGCTAAGACAAAACACGATGGGGATAAGTCACCCCAATAATATCAATGTTCAAACCACTTGTCTAGGGACGGTGGTGGGGCGGAAAGATGGTGCACCCCGAGGGGTTCGGACGCCGCTAAGAAAGCCAGATGATCTCCAAAGAAGTTTGCTTCGCGAAACACATGGACTAGGTCCACCGACCAATCACGGTCCCGTAAATCTCGTATTGCCCGAACCAAGCTGTCATGAATACCAATAGGAAAATATAAAGCACACCCTTTATATAACTATTATATAATTGGTAGATCTTTGTTGTAAACTTACCCCAACTGTACCAAATATGTGAAATCTTGAATCCTTCAAACAAATCCGCAATTTTATTTCACGCTGAAAAAGTTCCTCAACTTCATTTGAACGTGACAATAAAAAGAAAATAGCAACTTCTTGGACAAAGTTCATCATTATCAAACATTAAAAAATATATATCCGCATATATTAGAGTAAAACTAGTCAAATGAAACACATGATAGCCTATATATATGTCAAGGGCACCCTACATTTTTTCCCTTTAAAAACCGTCCTACCTCAATGAACAATCATAAGCAAAAAA